TAAAAACATATTAGCTCTCCTGGGGTGCCTGGGTGGCTCAGTTGGTTAAGCATACAACTCTTGATTTTGGCTCAAGTCATGATCTCACGGTTTATGAGCTTGAACCCTGCATTGGGCTCTGTGCTAGCAGTGTGGAGCCTGCTTGGGATTCTTTCTCTCCCTTCTGCCCCTCCCCCCATTTGTTCTCTCTCTCTCTCAAAATAAATAAATAAACTTTTAAATAAATAAAAAAAATATTAGCCCTTCTAATGAATGCAAAGTAGTATCTCACTGTAGTTTCAATTTCCATTTCATTAATAATTGGTTCTATTGGGTTTTGCTTCATACACTTTGCATATCTTTTATTAGATGAATATGCATTTGAAATTATGTCCTCTTTATGAATTGATGTTAATCATTATGAAAGTATCTTCTTTTTCCTGATATTATTTGCTCTTATTTCTATTTTGTCTTATATTAATATAGCTACTTTAGCTTTCCTTTCATTAGAATTAACATGGTATACCTTTTTTTATCCTTTTACTTTTTTTATGTTAAAAGTAAGTTTTCAATAGGGTGGCATATGGGTGTGCTTAAATCTAATACGACAATCTTTGATTTCTAATTGAGGTGTTTAGACCATTTATATTTAATGTAATTATTGATGCTATTGGGTTCAAACCTACCATCTTGCTATTTGTTTCTATATAGTTTATCTTTTCTTTGTTACCTTCATCCTTGTTTTAACCTTTTGGGGGAGGTAATACTTGAGTATGATTTCATTTTATACCCTTTGCTGTTTTTTTGCCTATAACCTGTTGTGCTTTTATACAGTGGCTGCTTTAGAGTTTGTATTATACATATTTAATTTATCACAGTCTACCTTCAGGTAATATTATAGCACCTCACATATATTATAAGAATCTTATAAGAGAGCACTTCCATTCTTCCCCTTCTGGCCTTTGTGCTATTGCTATCATACATTTTATTTCTATGTATGTTATAAATATCACAAGACATTGTTTTTTTTAAACAGTCAATGATATTTTTAAAAAATTTATTTACTTTATTTTAAAAATTTAAATGTTTATTTATTTTTGAGAGAGAGTGAGTGAGGGTGGGGGGAGGAGAGAGAGGGAGACACAGACTCTGAAGCAGACCCCAGGCTCTGAGCTGTCAGCACAGAGCCTGATGCGGGGCTTGAACCCATGGACTATGAGATCATGACCTCAGCCAAATGTTGGACACTTAGCCAACTGAGCCACCTGGGAGCCCCTTCAGTCAGTGATCTTTTAAGGACATTTAAAGAAAAAGAACAAAGTTCTTTTGTATTTACCCATTTTCAGAGCACTTCATTCTTGGCATGGATCCAAATTTCTATCTGATATCATTTTTCTGCCCAAAGAATATCCCTTTAACATTTCTTATAGTGTGGGCCTGAGGATGATGGAATCTTTCAGCTTTTGGAAGTCTCAAAAAGTCTTTATGTTGCCTTTATTTTTAAAGATATTTTCCCTGGGTATAGAATTCTAAGTTGATAATTTTTCTTTTTTCTTTTCGGTACTTTAAAGATGTTGCTATTCTGTCTTCTAGGTTGTGTTGTACTTATAAGTATTTATAAGTTGGCTGTCATTATGTTTTTTGTTCTGTGTATAACATCTCTTTCCCTCTCTCTGACAGCTATTTTCTATTTATCAGTAGTTTTAAGCAATTTGATTATTATTACCTTGGTGTAGTTTTTCTGCCTCAAATTCACTTTCTTCAGGGTTGGTTGAGGTTTTTGGATCTGAAAATTTATGGTTTTTATTATATGGAAAATTTCAGCCATCATTCCAATATTTCCTTAACTATTTTTCTGTTTCCCCTTTCTTTGGGTACTACAATCACATGTGTACTAGGACATCTGAAGTTGTCCCACAGCTCACTGATGCTCTGTTTAACTTTTTAAAAACTATTATTCAAGTATAATTAACACACAGTGTTATATTAGTTTCACATGTACCGTATAATGGTACAACGGTTTCATACATTTCTCAGTGTTCACCAAGATAAGTGTACTGTTTGTCCCCCTCACTTACCTCCTCCATCTCCACCCACCTCCCCTCTGATAGCCACCAGTTTGTTCTCCGTATGCAAGACTCTGGCTTTTGTTGTTGTTGTTCTTTTCTCCCCCTTTGTTCATTTGTTTTGTTTCTTAACTTCCACATATGAGTGAGATCATACGGTACTTGTCTTTCTCTGACTCTCTTATTCCACTCAGGATTATACCCTCTAGCTCCATCCATGTTGTTGCAAATGACAAGATTTCATTCTATTTAACTTATTTTCAGTATTTTTTCTCTTTGTGTTTTATTTTGGACAGTTTTTATTGTCCTGTGTCAGGTTCACTAATATTTTCTTCTGTAATATCTAATCTGCTATTAATCTAATCCAGTGTATTTTTCATCACATATAATTTTTATGTCTAGAAGTTTAATTTGGGTCATTTTTCTATCTTTCATGTCTCTACTTATCAGGTTTAATTTTTCATCTCGTTTCTTGGACATATGAAATAGTTACAGTAACAATTTTAATGACATTGTCTACCAGTTCTGTCACCTATGTCCTTTCTGGGCTGGTTTCATGTGATCAGTTTTTCTCCTCATTATAGGTAGTGTTTTCTCACTTCTTTGGCAAGTCTTTTCATTTTTGACTGAATACCAGACAGTATGTAATCCAGACCTTGAGACATTGTTGGGTGCTGAGTATTTTTTGATGTATTGTACTTCTAGGCTTTGTTCTGGAATATGGTTAAATTACTTAAACAGTTTAACCCTTTAAGGTCTTGCTTTTAAGTTTTGTTTGGGGGAATTAAAGCAGTCTTTAGTCTAGGGCTAATATCCACCACTAAGGGAAAAATAACCTCTTCTGCATATTCATGAATTATGAAGTTTTCCACTCTGGCTTGGGTGGACAAGAAGTATTCCTGCCCCTGTGTGAGAAACATAAATCAGTACCTCTGTCTTCTCAGTACTTTTTTCCCCTAGCATCAGGTAGTTTCCTCACATGCATGGTTTAACCCATCTCAGCTGAAGGCTTGAGGGGGATTCTGTCCAGATCACCAAGACCCCTCCTCCCTTAGTCTTCTACCCTCCAGTATTTTGCCTTGCAAACCTTCACTACCCTGCTGTCTTCAGAGTCCTGACTCTGTCTCTTTCACTAACACAGATTTCTAGCAGGTTTCCTACTGCCTACTCTGTAGCTTGGATACTCACGCTAGGTCATCATAGGATTCACTTTTTTTGTTTGCCACCTCAGGGATACAGTTTTTCATTGCCTGATGTTCAATGTCTTAAAAACTGTTATTTCTTATGTTTTATCTGGCTTTTTAACTGATCATGGGCATTGCCTGGGAATGCTTTTAAAAATCCATATTCCTGGAATCTGTCATTGGCTAATTTCAGCCACCTTTGGAGGAGTGGTCAAATATATACTGGATGGTTGATATTGTTCTGTTTCTAGCTGGAATGCCAGTATTTTCAGTGCAAACTTGCATCAGAATCTCTGATTAAAGGAGTCAGTTTTTTATGCTAAGGATCTGGGTGGAAATACATTTATTTGAAGTAAATGGGTTTTCTAGAACTAGATGGAAATTGTCTGGGGGGGGGGTCCATGGAAACCAGATGAGGATCTAGATGGTGTGTCTGTGGTCTTGACAAACAACTTGTGATTTTCTTTCTGACGTGTGTCTGTAGCGCACTTTTCTTCAGCCATCAGCTTAATGGCCAGATGATGGGGCCTGAGGCTCTCTGAGGGTCAGCTCTGGGGTTTAGACCAGCTATGCTGTATGGGCTGAATCTGTCAGTCAGCTTCCCTGAGTCACAGTATCATTAGCTGAAATTCTGGCCTTGAACTACTTGGTGTGAAGAGATTGTTGGGAAAATGTCTAACAAATACGCTTGAATCTGTACTTGAATGCACTTATAGTCTGTACAGATGGAATTACGGGTGCTTAGTAAATTCATTCTGTATTTGCAAGATATATTCTTCTAAAAATCCCAGGAGACACTTCTTGACAAAGACATTTGGAGTACCATTGAACCTTCCAAGGAGTGTTGAGTATTATTAAGATCCTGATAATTATTTTTCTCAGTTTTGTCTTTCTTCCTGCCATCTCTCCACCCTTTCAAGGGGAATGAAAGTTCTCTGATTACACGGTGGGAAGAAGCCTCCTTCACTCCACTTTCATAATATATTTATGAAGGGCAACATTGACCCAATTGAAGTGTATAAGGATACTGTAACCAACACATCTTTATTGAGCCCCAGCTCTGTGCCAGGTATTAAAGGAGAAACAATAACACATCAGATATGGTCACTGGCCTGGGGGAATTTACTTCTTGGTTGTAGAAGCAACACCTACAATTATGAGACCATTTGTCAACAAAATAAAACAAAATGTAACCAGTAGCTTCATCAACAGATGCCATATGAGTTCAGAATAGGAGTAGAAGAGACCAGGTGTCAGGGACTGGAGAAAATGACTGATTTTCCACGACGGCCTTGTTCTTAAAGGTAGCCATTGCATAATACTCAGAAAGCTCCAAGGAAGGGGGGTAGAACAGAGCCTAGTGAGTGGACAGTATGGAGGGGGAGGACAAGAGTCAGGCAGGCAGAAGAACAGAATGCTAAGGGTAGCCAAAGCCACTGTGTCTAGTGCCAGAGCAGAGCCCAGAGAACATCCAAAAATAGCACAAGGGCATAGATTCAGATTGCCACAGATGGAAGTGTCACATACTCTTTCACTGCACATTAGAATTTCCTCCGAATATTTATACACCCAGCATCTTTCAATCATCATAGTAGGTTTGTAAAGGAAGCAGGACACATAACTGTTGTCATTTGACAGAAAAGGAAACTGAGAGTAGGAAAGATTAAGTTGTTTTTGCATAGTGACCCAAACAGGGCAAGAAAGAACCAAGACCAGAATCCACAGATGCACTATCTGTACAACTTCTGCCTGATACTCTTTGCCTCTATAGATGACTCAGCCTAGAGTGCGGACCCACAAGCCATCTCATGTCCAACAGGGACAATTTGACCCAAATATGAGACTGAAGCTTAGTCCAACTCTGGGAGAGGTTAGGGTGTGAGGACATTGGCTGTGTCTTTCTGCACATTTGCCTGTACAGGAAAGTGGAGAGAGAAGCCAAGTGCTTGGCGACCTCTTTCAAGTCAAAGGAGAGAAAAGGCTCCTGTTGCCTTGGGGAGGGAAAAGGGAGGAAGTGGAGGGGAAGTCTGCTTTTTAAGCCCATTAAGGAGGAAGAGCCAGGAGGCAAGCATCCAATTAACCTGACATCTCTTGCAGCCAAAATATCTGAGGATATAAGAAGAGAATTTAATATGTGGAGGCTTGGGAGAAAAGTGACTAATAGCTGGAAAACAGCCCCAGTTTATTTAAAAAATAGGTCAGGCCCAACAAATCCAATAGATTCCTTCCCAGCAGTTACTGATCCAGGCGACAGAGGGAGTGCCGTGTGGGTGCAATGCCATTTTGATTTGAAGCAAGCACTGCTATTGTACCACAGACAGCCAGGGGCTGATGGGAAGCACGCAGACAGTGTGCACAGCTGCCGAGGACTGCCCTTTGAGTTGAGCCACATCATGACCCTGGCAATGCCAGCAAGGTAGGGACTGGTCCAAGGTCACCTAGACTGAAGGTGAGAGAGCTCACACCCAATCCCAGCTCTTTTGCTGTGGGAGCTAAGGCAGCCTTTCTTCCAGGTGTCCTTGGCCTGGCTCTGACATTGGGGATCACAGGGGCACAGAGTATGCCAGGCTGGCCTCTGGGGGCTGCATTAGGGGTCAGAGAGTAATGGAGAAGGCAAGTAACTGTCCTCAGCTCTGTCTGGATCAGGATTTCATAGGCATCACTGGGGGAACTTGTTAAATGCGCAGCTTGTTGTGTTTTGTCCCCACAGGCTCTGAGGTCAGACCCAACAAATCCAATAGATTCCTTCCCAGTAGTTACTGATCCAGGAGACAGAGGGAGCAAAGGCATTTTGATGGCATGAGTCTGGGGTCGGGCCTGAGACCCATCCCAAGGTGGTTGATACATATTTTAACAGAGAAACACTGTCCTAAATCAGAGTCACCCAGATGGTTTCCTCAGAACATTAATTTCCAGAGATGTTTATAGATGTCTCAGAAAAAAAAAGATGTCACAAATAAATTTAGGAGCAAAAGACACCCTAACTCCCTCTTGGAGATTCACAATTCATTTTAGCAAATTAACGACTTAAAAGTACTGCAATTAAGAAATCTCTTTCAATTTTTCATATATACATATATTGAATCATTATGGTGTACCTTAAACTTACACATTATATGTCAATTATATCTCAGTAAAGCTGGAGAACAAAAAGAAAAAAAAATCTCTTTAGCTTGTTTGTCCAAACTTATTTGACCATGGAATCCCTTTTCTAGGAGTATCTATTCTGTGGAATACAATGTGGGAAAATGCAACTCTAGACCAGTGGAGCTCAAACTCTGTGATACATCAGAATCACATGGAGGCTTGTTGGAACAGATTGCTAAACCCTACCACAGAGATTATGATTCAGTGGTTTCTGGTAAGGGCTGAGAATTTGCATTTCTTACAAGTTCCCAGGAGATGCCGTTGCTAGTGGTCTGGGGACTAGACATTGAGAACCACTGCCCTAGACCCCTCTGTAAGTCCTGGCTCATCCAAGCGTCCTGCCAGGCCTCCTGGCAACGTTCCTCAGTACAAGGCATCCCCCCAGTGAGAGAATGGGGACTGAGAATAGTGGGTGACAGGACCCGAGGGAAGGCGAATCCAGAGAGAACAGTCTCAGAGGGAACTTGAGTCTAAAGGAATAAAGCATGTGAAGATGGGCTCTACCAAGTTATAGTCAGGGATACTGTAAAACAGGAAGGTCCCAGTGGGTGACAGCAGCTGATACTCTGTGACGTGCATCAGTGCCTGACCTTGCCCCCAGGGGGGTCTAGAGAAAGTATATGCCTTTAAGGAGAAAACTCTAGTGAGGGACATGAAGGTGACTGTTGACAAATATACAGACCAAGGCACCCTGGAGGGCCAGGTACAAGAAGACAACACTGTCTTGTGGGACCAGCAGCATCTAGATGTTTCTTCCCATCTCCCAGACTCACAAGTTTATGATTCCTAGGACGAGAAACCATGATCTGGGGCTATGTACTCTAGCATAGCACTTCCTTCTGGGGAGGCTTACTTTGACATTGCTTCCCTGGGAACCATCTTCAGCCCAGATGATAGGGAACATGGGTAGATATGAGGGTGGAACCAGGATTGTTTTTGGCCAAAGGCAGACACGAGAGCTATACATTTTTGGTGTGATCTTTGATATGAATAGGAGAGGTACACATGCCCATCAGAGCCCTTTCTGGCCTTGCTGCTGCCAGACTTTCTACCATTAGAATGTTCTCCTTTCAGTTAAAGCTCTGGTCCCTATCTAAAGGCAGACACAGTGCTAGAAGAGCTCACTCTAGGCAATTACCTCACAGTCTTGTGAGTAAACATTGGGATGGAGAAAGAGTGTGAGGGTCTGAGGGTGACCCTGGGACAAGGGCCAGATGTGAGCATGGGCTAAAAGAAGCTGGGAGGAAGACAAAGGCATCTGGGAAGAAGGATGTAGTGAGACCTGGCCAGGGAGTCACCCCACCTCCCACACCATCTTCTACCCACCCTGCAGTGACCCACCCTTTGCAGTCTGTCCACCACTCCCCCCCATCCCGCCCCCATGGGACTTCAGGCCAGGCAGGCTGCTGCTAAGGACAGACGACTCAGGTTAGAAAAAGCTCTCTTGACATTTGGAAACAGAGCAGGATTTGGCTCCTCCAGTGGAGCCTCTTGTTCTCAGGAAAATCATTTTTACAGCTTGGGCTGGTGCCAGTAAGAGCCATTTATAGCCCAATGGGCTTGGGTTAGCTTCAGCTGCCTGGTGCAGAAAGTGCTGGTTTCTCTCTGCCCCCTGCTGCCTAGCTTCCCCCTCCATATTCCTTCACCTCTATTCTCCTTCCTTAAGACCTCTTTCTCTTACCCCCTCCTTACCCTTTTTCTATTTTCTTGGAGATTCCAGTTCTGGGTTTACCTGTGTGACCCTAGACATATTCCTTTGCTTATGTGGACTTCAGCTTCTCCTTCTCTAAAATAGAACTTACTATTGGCTGCCTTTTGAATTCAGTTACCTTGGAGAGGTACTTACCTGTGCCTACCTTCACGGAACATTTTCTTCTTTTTAGTCATTGCCTTGTTGACCTTCTTTCTCTCCCCAGAACTGGGCGTGCTGTTTGGGCCAGCTTTGCCACCCATTTCTGAGGACAGGGCTCCTAGCAGTAGCTCAGTTAAGCTTGGTGTGACTGAACTGAGCTAACCACAGCATCGGTGTCAAAAGCATCAACTCTGGTGTCCAACAGATAATGGTTCATATCTCGGCTCTGTTACACCCTAGCCTTGGGCTCAGGCAATTGACTGAATTTTTTGAGTATCAGTTTCTTTGTAAATTTCAGTTATTCATTCAGTTATTATGAGGATTTTAAGATGTGGTATTTGTAAAGTGCTTAGCACATTGCCTGGTTCACACTGAGCCCTCAATCTATGTTAAGGATCATCATCATTATCATCACCTATCACTCACCCTTACTTTCAGATGGAAGTCGAGTTAGGTTAAGAAAAATAAAGGAGGGGCGCCTGGGTGGCGCAGTCGGTTAAGCGTCCGACTTCAGCCAGGTCGCGATCTCGCGGTCCGTGAGTTCGAGCCCCGCG